ACATCAGTGAAGAGAGAGAATCATTGATCTGCTGTCTCCTGCAAGTCCCACACTGGGGATCAAGCCCCAACCTGGGCATGTGCCCTGACTGGGATCAAACCTGTGTCCTTCTGGTTTATAGGTCGATGCACAACCACTGAGCCAAGCTGGCCGGGCAGAAGTTTTAAGTACATTGGTGTGTTTTTTTGTGTTTTTTTTTTTTTTTTAAATATATTTCTATTGATTTTGTACAGAGAGGAAGGGAGAGAGAGAGTTAGAAACATCGATGAGAGAGTCATCGATTAGCTGCCTCTTGCACACCCCCTACTGGGGATATGCCCGCAACCGAGGTTCATGCCCTTGACTGGAATCGAACCCGGGACCCTTCAGTCCCCAAGCCGATGCTCTATCCATTGAGCCAAACCGGTCTCAGCTACATTGTTTTTTTTTTTTTTTTTTTTTTTTTTTTTTTTTTTTTTTAATGTACTGTATATCTTGGAGATTGTTTTACATCTGCACAGGTAGACACACCTCACTCTTTCATAATTGTCAGAGCATTTCTTAAATATGAAATTATAACACGTTTTCAAATATGGAGGCACCATCATTTTCACTTGCCCCAATTAATAACAGTTATTTCCAATTTCAGCACTTTTCTTTTTAAAAAAAATTGCAGGCAGTACTGCCATGAATATTCTTGTGTATCCTTTGCCTACCTCTGTGAGTTTTTCTGTAGATTAAGTTCCTGTTGTAGGCCAAAGGGTAATTATTACGATTCTTTTATGGACATTGCCACGTTACCTTCTGAGGAGGGTGCCCTGCATATCCACTCCCACAAGGAGGCCTGTAAAAAGTTATTCACTGAAGTTCGTGTTTGCATAAAGTTCAATAAACCAGCACTTAGCTATAATAAGGAAAGCAAGCAGATAGAGCCAATAACAAAGAATTTTCTTGGGCGACTTGAAGCTTGATTTAGGAAGTAGGAATAGCAAACTTGAAAAAGAGAAACCGTTTTTGATAACTCAGCACAGAATATTAGACTAGGTAATATAGGCCCAGGGCACAACATTCAAAAGAACAGACAGTGAAGGAAGTCTCTTCCCTTCTCTCTACCTAATGACCATCATTTAAAAAAATTCTTTTTTGTTGTTTTTACTGTGAAATAAGTAATACATCCAAAAGTGCATACAAATACAAAAAGCATAGATATAATTACAATTTAAAGGCAAGTACTAATACATCCCCACTTATGAAATGCACATATCTGTGTTCTGTTGAGCTGGATTGTAAGCTTTTGCAGCTGTGTCCCATTGAGTACTTAGCATGTGCCAGGCCTTTGCATGAGGTGTCTCAGTGAATCCTCAGAGCTGCCATACAAGGGGTATGGATAGTACCCTATTTTGCAGGTAAGAAAACTAAGGTTGCCGAAGCCGGTTTGGCTCAGTGGATAGAGCGTCGGCCTGCGGACTGAAGAGTCCTGGGTTCAATTCCGGTCAAGGGCATGTACCTTGGTTGCAGGCACATCCCCAGTAGGGGGTGTGCAAGAGGCAGCTGATCGATGATTCTCTCTCATCGATATTTCTAACTCTCTATCCCTCTCTCTTCCTCTCTGTAAAAAATCAATAAAATAGCCGAAACCGGTTTGCCTCAGCGGTAGAGCGTCGGTCTGTGGACTGAGGGTCCCAGGTTCGATTCCGGTCAAGGGCATGTACTTTGGTTGCAGGCACATCCCTGGTGGGGGGTGTGCAGGAGGCAGCTGGTTGATGTTTCTCTCTCATCGACGTTTCTAGCTCTCTATCTCTCTCCCTTCCTCTCTGTAAAAAAATCAATAAAATATATTTTTTTAAAAATCAATAAAATATATTCAAACAAACAAACAAACAAACAAAAACAACAAACAAACTCCTAGATATAAGAGAATGATAGTTAACAGAGAAAGAGGGTGAGGGATAGGGCAAAGTGAGTAAATGGATCAAACACATGGTACAGAAAAAACAAAACAAAAAAAGGAAAGGAAACTAGACTTTTGATGGTGGGCACGAAATAGAATACATAGATATTCAATTTATAATCTGTACACCTGGAAGTTTTAGAATGTTATTAACCAATGTTCCTCAATACATTTAATTTAAAAAATATGTAGTATGCCAGGACCGGTTTGGCTTAGTGGATAGAGCGTCGGCCTGCGGACTGAAAGGTCCAGGGTTTGATTCCGGGCAAGGACATGTACCTTGGTTGCGGACACATCCCCAGTAGGGGGTGTGCAAGAGGCAGCTGATCGATGATTCTCTTTCATCGATGTTTCTAACTCTCTATCCCTCTCTCTTCCTCTCTGTGAAAAATCAATAAAATATATTTTAAAAAAATATGTAGTATACATGGTATGAATATATATGTGTGTGTGTGTGTGTGTGTGTGTGTGTATAACATACAGCATAAGGTACATGTTTTCCCTTTCACCTCAAGCTCCAGTGTGGCTACACATGGCACTGTTGGATCCTGTCTTTATTTAAGATTTTGATAACTTCTCATCCTATATTTTTCTATGTGTTTTTATTTTTATTTTATTTTTTTTCTATTATTTTATTTTTATTTTTTTAAAAAAATATATTTTATTGATTTTGTACAGAGAGGAAGGGAGAGAGATAGCGAGTTAGAAACATCAACGAGAGAGAGTCATCGATCAGCTGCCTCTTGCACACCCTCTACTGGAGATGTGCCCGCAACCACGGTACATGCACTTGACCGGAATCGAACCTGGGACCCTTCAGTCCCCAAGCCGACGCTCTATCCACTGAGCCAAACCGGTTTCAGCTATGTGTTTTGATTTTTAAATATTTACTTGATAGATGAGTTTTGGGAGTACCATTCAATTTTATGCCTGAGACTAATGGGATTCCTCCAGGCAGTGACCCTCCTGGCCTCTGGACTCTGGGATGGTCTGACTGTGGTGGCAGCCCCCCTCTCTGCTTCATGTACCCCAAACACGATATTCACCCTCTCCGGGCTTCATGCTTTCGTGACACTGTGCTTCCTTTACAGACAGGATCCCCAACTTTAGAGCCTCAGTTAGAACTTTGCTTATGTCTTTTGATCTGATATTTGACCTCCCATGGTCGAGTTGAGTACTGATGGCGGAAATAGGAGAGACTGTGCTTTGGTAAGACTGAGCTATACAGTATATTTGGCACTTGTGAGCTCTCCATTTGGAAGGCAAGCTCCACCAATATTAATCCAATTCTAAAGCCCCCAGCAGAGATGTGGTTTGGAAATGCTTTCATAACTATAGCAACTGCCTAAAGAGCCTTGGCCTTGCCTTCAGCCCATGCCATTTATGGGCATACCCATCCTTGCAGAAACTGCTCAGACCTGCACCCTGTTCTTGTGTTGCTGGAGCCCACTCTACCCATGTGATGCAGGCCAGAAGTCCCAGGGAGGGAAGGTCAGAGCCACCCAAGGGCAGCTCTCCATAGTGCTATTGGAGCTGGTGGGTAAAGACCTAGCTCACAGCCAAAACAGGTTTGGCTCAGTGGATAGAGCGTCAGCCCTCGGACTGAAAGGTCCCGAGTTCGATTCCGGTCAAGAGCATGTGCATTGGTTGTGGGCACATCGCCGGTAGGGTGTGTGCAGGAGGCAGCTGGTAGATGTTTCTCTCTCATCGATGTTTCTGACTATCTCTCTCCCTTCCTCTCTATAAATAATCAATAAAGTATATTAAAAAAAAAAAAAAAAGACCTAGCTCCCAGGGCACAAGTGACTCAGAGGTGAGTGTTCTACAGTGTTGCCCAACTTGCCTAGCCAATGGGACACAGCAAGGGCTGACTCGATGGCCACACCTTGTAATGGCTTTTTTCTATACCCCTCTCTCAATTCTTTGCTTCCCTATAGGTGCTTCCTGGGGTCCCATCCCAAGTAACTCATACAGGAATCTTTGTCTCAGGGTATGTTTGCTGGAAAACTCTAAGATAAAAACCATGTTTGTTTTGCCCACTCTAAAATCAAAACATTAAAATGGTGTACAAGTAGGAAGAATAAAACTTCTCCTCTCCACGTGAACAGTGCCCACCCGGGCAGCGCGTTTCTCACTGTGTTTGCTATATTTGCATCCATTTTGGTTACGTTTGCTCATGTGGATATTGTAAACTTTTGTGGACAGTTTTGTCTCTTGCCCTAATCATTTTCCTCCTTTTGAATCATTGGTCATAATGACTGTTTCTCTCTACCCTCGCTCCCCATCCCCTACCAACCATTTTTCTACTCTGTTTCTATAGGTTTAATGTTTCTACAGAAAGGTGATACCAATGCTGTATTTGTCTTTCTCTGTCTGGTTTATTTCACTTAACATAATGCTCTCAAGATCCATCCATGTTGTCAAAAAATTTGACAAAGGACTCCCTTTTTTCTTGTGGCTGAATAATATTCTATTGTATAAATAGTTGACAGCTTTTTTTTATCTATTTATTCATTGATGGACACTTAGGCTGTCTCCATATCTTGGCTGTTGTGGTTAATTCTGCCATGAATGTGGGAGGGCAGATATCTCTCTGTTTTCATTTCCTTTGGATGTATGTCCTAGAAGTGGGGTTGCTGGATCTTTTGATAGATCTATTTTTAATCTTTTAAGAAACTTCCATACTGTTTTCCATAGTAGCTGCACCAATTTACAAGCCCACCAACAATGCACAAGGGTTCCCTTTTCTCCACATTCTTGCCCACACTTCCTATCTCTTGTCTTTTTTATAAGAGCCACTGTAACAGGTATGAAGTGATATCTCACTGTGCTTCCATTGTGGCTGTGATGTGCATTTTCCTGATGATTAAGGATGTTGTGCACCTTTTCATGTGCTGTTGGCCATTTGTATGTCTTCTTTGGAAAAATGTCTGTTCAATTCCTATGCCCGGTTTTGAATCGGGTCATTTGCTATTGGGATGTGCGCGGTGATTTTTTTATGGCTTTTTAGTTGGAAGGCTCTGGCTTGGCCATGACCAACCGGTGATGTATCTGCCCCTTGCCCTTGCAGGCATTCGCCCCTACAAATGTGATGTCTGCAACAAAGCCTTCACCCAGCGCTGCTCCTTGGAGTCCCACCTGAAGAAAATCCACGGGGTGCAGCAGCAGTATGCCTACAAGCAACGCCGGGACAAGCTCTACGTCTGTGAGGATTGTGGCTACACAGGCCCCACCCAGGAGGACCTGTACCTGCACGTGAACAGTGCCCACCCGGGCAGCGCGTTTCTCAAAAAGACATCCAAAAAACTGGCAGCCCTTTTGCAAAGCAAGCTGACATCCACCCTCCAGGGGAATGCCAACCTGAGCGAGGAGGAGGAAAAGTGAGGAGGAAGAGGAGGGGGGAGATGCCAACGCTAACACGTTTACACGAACTTTTGGTTTTGAGGGTCCCAGTGGCTCTTTCTAATTACAAGTGTTCAGTTTATCTCTCTGTCCTTTTGGGGCCTCGGCAGGGGGATCTGCTCCAGGGCGTCGGTTGTAATGATTGTGTCAGGTCCCCCGTAACTCAGGCTCCGCTGAACACACTCACGTTCACGGAAGTTGATCAGTAGGTGGCTGTAGTCACCGTGCAGGACTTTTTGTGTGTGTGTTTTAGGAATTTCATACACGGAAGCAGATGTGTTCTTAGAGAGACCATCATATTATGGTGCCTTGAAATAAAAGTACTTCCATTTGAAATGCTACTTAAGTGAGAAAAATGAATTTTATTATCCTGAAAGAGTTTATAGGAATCATTTGAATAAGTGAAATGAAATGTCCTCTGGAAACTTTTCTTATAATAACCAAACAGGAGAGCGTTGAGCTATGTAGCTCCTTGTTCTAGGCTTATTGAGTGGTATTCAACTTCGGGTTATTTGGGGGTTGATCATTTTGTGTCAGGGGGTGGGTTTGAAGAGGCAAATCTTAAGAGTGCTGAACCGCTGACTCCCCCACTGATGGCCAGAGGTGCCTGGGATCAAATCAGTAGGTAACTTGACTTGTGTCACTTTTTGTGGCTGTGGGGTTACTGCAGAGATGCCTCTGACTTTCTGGGGCTGGGATTGTCTCCCTTCCTTAGGGACAATGTGTGGCAGAGGCCAGAGTATGAGGAAGGCTCACTGGTAGGCACAGTGCACTTGTGGGAGGGGCAGCAGCAGCAGCATGTGACTGCTGAGGGCAGCGACCTTTAGCTCCCTGCATCCGCTCACGTAGGAGGCCTGAAAGATTAACAATAAACCAACTTGAGACCTTAATAGGGTAAAGGGAGGCACTCAGGTCCATTTCCACCCTGGAAGATCAAGAAAACCTTGCTTGGGACCAGGTCACTCCTTGGCCTAAGGGAACATTTGTATGAAGAAACCATTTTCTTATTTCCTCCCTCTTCCATTGTCCCTCTTTCTCCCCTCTTTCCTTCCCTTTCCTCTCCTTTCTTTCCTTCCATCTTCCCTCCCCTTTTCCTCTTCCATACTGTGGACCAGCCATTATGCCAATACCTGGGTGGTATTAGTAGCATATCCCATGACACTTCTCTTCCGAATCAGCACTTTTCTTTCAGAAGGAAGTTTACCCTTTTGCAGGGCACTTACGACCTGCATGGCGCTGCACATGTTCTCTAGAGCCATCCTCAGAGCACACCTGGGGGCCACCTCTCCATACCCGTGAGCACATGAGGTGACAGCAGGGGCCAGCAACTGGTGGCCATTGGAAGGGACCCACAGCAGCACGGCAGGATGAAGTGCAGCCTCCAGGGTCAGCCTGCACTGAGATTCAACACTGGCTCCAGTGCGCAAATTGTTAACATTGTGTTGTGTCTAGATACAGAGGAGAGAGAGGCCAGAAGGTGATTGGTTTGCTTTCCTCAGTTATCCAGGTCATTAGACAACATAACAAACATTCCTGCCCTGCTGTGGTGGCTCAGTGTATGAGGGTCAATCTATGAACCAGGAGGTCATGGTTCGATTCCAGGTCAGGGCACATGCCCAAGTTGCAGACTCAATCCCGTGTGGGGTATTGAGGAGGCATCAGATCAGTGATTCTCTCTCATCATTGGTGTTTCTATCTCTCTCTTCCTTCTCTGAAATCAATAAAAAAATACATTTTAAAAACCAAAATGAACATTTCTGTAAGGAAACATCTAAATTGCTCTGGCTGGGCAAGTAGCCTGTGGCCTGTTTTGCACAGGGAACTGTAAACTAGCTGGTGTGATGTTCTCTTTGGGGCCAGATTTTTACTAGCAGAACTCTTGGTTGCAGGTGATAGAAATTCAGTTTAAAAGATCTTTGACAGGAATGCTAATCTATTAGCTAAGTCTAGGGTTGTTCCCTCTTCAGGGATGGTAAGCACAGATGCTTAAATCAAGCCATCGCCCTTCATCTTTTATCCAGTTTCCCCCAGGTGGTTTCTTTCTCAGACAGGCTCAAGTGGAAGCTAGATGACCACCCACCCTTGGAGTTCTATCCCACAGTGCAGCAGCCCAGCGCAAGGAGGGTTTGTCTAATAACCAGCCATCTTGGGCTGATGCTTCTTGTCTCTGAGTGGCCAGCTTTGACTCTTGGGCCTGCCCCTGAGCCAGTGACCCTGCTGGGGTGATAGGGGCTCTTTCCCCCCAGGCCAGAGTCTTATGCCCCTGCCTCCCCTGAAGCAGGGGTAGAGAAAGCAGGTCAGTCATACCTCTGGCCTGGGAGTGGTTCCCCAGCAGAAAAGCAGGGTGCTGTGACCAGAGAGGAAATGGATGTCGAGTAGGTATATTAGCTAAGACACCTATGGCTGTAGTAACAAAGATTCCTAAGAAGTGCTGTGGCTTAAAGAAGAGAGGTCACTTTTTTTTTTTTTTTTTTTTTTTTTTTAAGAAGGTTGTTTCTTTCTCACCCAGCAGTTCTGGATTGGTGGGTGGCTCTCCATGCACTCACTCAGAGACCCAAACTTCTTTCCTTCATTGCTCTGCCATGTCCTAGGACATTGTCAGTATATGCATGGTTGAACTGGGTCTCTGTGAGTTTCAGCTAGTAGGAGAGTTGGTTTGAGTTCCTCCAAGGCAAGGCTTCAATTACTACTCAATTGCTTTGGAGAGTGATCCCAGGAAGCTTCTGCAGGGCAGTGGGAAAGTAAGACAGGGAAGGGAAAACAGCCAACAAAGGGAATATAATCAAGGAAGTTACTGCTGTGGACAACTGGTACATAACCACTGCAGGGATTTCTGGGAGACAGTATAGACCTGCCTTAGAGTTACCCCACTTGAGGGGCATAGGAAACCATTTGTCTGCTACCTCCCCATCCTTGAGGATTTAGTTGAGGTGCTGGCATTGGGGACATTCATTTCTGGTCCCTTCCAACTTTCCCTGAGCCAAGCATGCTTCTTGTGACAGGAAAAGCTCTCGGGCAGCGTGATAGGTGGGCCATAAGCAGCCTTCAGCACCTAGAACCAAATGCCTTGGAGACCTGGGTAGCGTGGCACCTGGTCTGGTACAGGTGTGGAAAAGTCACTCACTCTGAAGCTGCTGGCCTGGATGTGGCACTGGAGATGGGGTAGGAAAAGGCAGCTTTCTCATCAAAGGAACAATGGCCTCTGCCTGCACTTCGGTCTGGGAGAAAACTGTCCCCCAGCTCTCATCCTGATGCCAGATGGTTTAGTTCCTCCTGTAGGTATCTGGTGCCTTTTCTTGTTGTTAGTCATCACCCGAGGACATTTTTTCCATTGAGTGGAAGGGAGTCAGAGAAAGGTAGAGAGAAACATCAATGTGAGAGAAACACATAGATTGGTTGCCTCTTGCATAGCCTGGACCAGGACGGGGGATCAAACCTGCAACCCAGGTACTTGCCCTTGACCTGGAATTAAACTCGTAACCCTTTGGTGCACAGGCTGACACTCTAACCACAGAGCACACTAGCCATGGTTCTGGAGCTCAGAGGGATTATCTGCAGGCCCTTTAAGAGGAACTCTTGGACTCCAGGAGTCCTCTATCTCACAGCCTCAGTCCCCACTGGTTTTTACAGGCAGAGATTATGGGAACTTTTCTTCTTGGCACTGGAATCCTGGCCTGGGGGACCTGGTGCAGGGTTGGGACCCTTGGCTCCTGAGGGAGGAACTTTGCAGGCATGATATTCCTCCCAATTTTTATCTGCTACATGTGGGTGTGGGACCAGCCCATTCAGCATCTCTGCCCTTCCTACCAGTCTCCATGTGTCTTCTTTAAATCCCAGCCAGATTTCAGGTGTTTCTGAATAATGATTGTTCTGTAATTTTTATGTGGTTGTGGCAGGAGGCAAGTATTGCATTTACCTTCACTACTATCTTGACTGGAAGTTTTGGTTGATGTCTTAGGTTGAATTCCTACAAGCAGAGCCTGAGACAGATTCTGAGGTAAGTGATTTATTGGGTGTGGCTGTAGGGATAAACCAATAAGAAGTAAGAGGAACCAGGTACAATAGAGGAAGAAACTAGGCAAAGCTGTGGGTTCAATTGCAGTCTAACCTGGGCTGATCTTTTTTTTTTTTTTTTTTAATATATTTTTATTGATTTCAGAGAAGAAGGGAGAAGAAAGAGAGAGATAGAAACATCAATGATGAAAGAGTCCTGCACGCCCCACACTGGGGACCAAGCCCACAACCTAGGCATGTGCCCTTGACCAGAATTGAACCTGGGACTCTTCTGTCTGCAGGCTGACACTTTTTCCACTGAGCCAAACTGGCCAGGGCTCGGCTTGATCTTAGGGAAAGCACTGTAGTGTGAATGACATCACAGACACTGTCTCACCTTGAGGCCAAGGGCAAGTCATTGGCAACTGTGGCTACCCCTGGGAGGGAGGGGAAAAGGCAGAGTGTTGTAATGTCATGGTTTGGGATTTGGGCCAATATGATAGGGAAGGAATCATTCCTCAGGGTAGGTTTTTGTTGTTGTTGTTGTTTTTGGTTAATTCTCACATGAAGATAGTTTTCCCCCCTGTATTTATTTTTAGAGAGACTGGAAGGCAGAAAGAGAGAGAGACAGAGAGAAAGAGAGAGAGAATTATCGATGTATGAAAGACACATCATCCGAAACCGGTTTGACTCAGTGGATAGAGCGTCAGCCTGCTGACTGAAGGGTCCCGGGTTCGATTCCGGTCTAGGGCATGTACGCTGGTTGCGGGCACATCCCCAGTGAGGGTTGTGCAGGAGGCAGCTAGTCGATGTCTCTCTCTCATCGATGTTTCTAGTTCTCTATTTCTCTCCCTTCCTCTCTGTAAAAAATCAATAAAATATATTAAAAAGAAAGAAAGACACATCAATTGGTTGACTCCTGCATATGCCCCAACCTGGGCCTGGATTGGGTCTGCAACCAGGTACACATATCCTTGATCGGGAATCAA